ATAAGTGTGGAAATATGATTGATAATAAAATATTGATATATATAGATGAAAATATGGATGATATTAACAGTTTAATATAAATATAGGTAAGAGTATAGATATTATATGTATATAGAATTGTCAGGAGGCATTTCTTATAAAAGGTATAGTATTTACTGTGTTAGAGTGATTATGTGCAATGTTATAATGTGTTTAACATGTTTTTTTCCTTACAGGGATGTATTTATTGTGTAATGTATTTAGGATATTGTGATTGCATAAATGTTTTATTGCATAAGGTGTTGTATTGCAAATGTAAGTATGTACATAGATAGATAGTATAGCTAGGAATAGATAGAAAAGGGGGTTAGTTGGGCCTAGTACAGTGCTTCCGAAAAGGGCTGCAGACCTTTTCACTCCGCAAACCATCTTGAGGTGGGGAGGGAATGTAAAGATCCCTTACCTTGCCAGCCAGGGTGGCAGGGCCAGGAAAAGTCAGGCTAGGTAGTTTAGCTTGGAAGGCCTGGCAGAGTGCTGCTGGAGCCATTTTAGAGCAGGGAAAAGCTCCAGAGCAGAAGGGGGAGTGGCTGAGGCCTGTGCCAGCCCAGCAACAGCTAGGATTGGTTTAGAGAATAGGGGCGGAGTTAGCCAGAAGGAGGGAAAGAGAACAGTGAGTTTTGACAGTTTTAGGTTTAGTTCAGCTGAGTTCTCTGAAGAGTAGAGAGCAGTTTTAGTTCAGTGCTGAGAGAGATTAGAGAGGGATTTAGCTTTGTCTAGGAGTCTCTGTTTTAGAATAGGCAGCTTGCCTTTAGTCTGTACAGCACAGTAGGCTGTGGCAGACTGAGTTACAGCTATTTTAAGAGAAAAATAGCTGGGTTTTGGTGTTTAATGAAACTGTAACTAAGAAAAGAACATTCTCTCTAGAAACCAATACGCTTATAAGAAACAAGAACACTTTTATCTGTAACCATCAAGCCTCAGTACCTGCATTCACGTGTTATTTCTGAAATTGTAATCAATAAACTCTTTCTTGATTATTTTTAAAACTTAAAACCTGAGTCAAGTGCTATTTTTGGTTTTGAGTCCCTTTCTTTTTTTGAAACAACCTCTCCTGTTTTCCCCTCAGAGAAAGCCCTTGTTAATACAACAGTATTATCTGGTGGAGTAAAAAAACCTTTTATTAATTTAAACAGCCTGTTAACCTTTTAAAAAGTTGGAGGGTTCGGGATTTCTTTAGTTTGGTGGCAGCGAAAGTTTTACACAACGTGACATCCCCTCAAACCCTATAGAAGCCTCTTTGAGTTATCATAATTGGTTTTGCAGAGGTGGGATATTGATTTATCACCCATACCTCTAAGATCCTTATACCCATCACAGAGGTTTCCTGGCAAAATTTATTCAAAAGAGGGTTTGCCTATGCCTTCCTTTAAGGCACAGATGTGAAACACAAGGCCCACTGTGTTGCGTTAGGTGGCTCCATGAGGCTTTCAGTGCTAGGGCAACAGAGTTACATTTATACAGTCTTATAATTACAACTGGCCCTTTAAGCATTTTCATGAATTCTAATATTTGCAATAATACTCAGAAATGTACATCTGGCTTGGTTTTTTTTTACAATTAATTTGTGAATAAAAAATGAAAAAGTTTGCTTTCACACATTTACTTGTTAATTACATTGCAACTTTCAAAATTTTCTTAGAGAGAGGTATTGCCCAACCAGTTTATCACAGGTGTTGCAGAAAATAGTTTCACATGGTTCAACATATTCAGCATATTAAGAGAACCATTAGAAGATGCTAATACTTTATGGCGCATGATTGAACTTGTTAGAACAATGACAACAAATATTAGTGTTATTCATCATTAGATTCTGCTATTTTAACCATTTTAGAGTCTACCTTTTGTGAAGTTTGGGTTTTTTGAACTTGTCATGGTAAATCAGTTCTAGGTTTTCTGGTGTAAAATTGACTATCAGGTCTACTTGAGTCAGACTTGCAACTTGATCGGAAGACCTCTGATAGGTGACATGCACAATGAAGTCAGTTGTTTGACCAAATCTCAATGTGGTCTGGTACTTCTGAATTCGTTGGTCAGACTCAGTCTGGGAAGTTCTGTTTTGTGCTGGCTCCATAAAGTAGTGTTTGATAGCCACTACACCTACTGACTGTTGTTCAATAGATCTTTGGTTTATGAAGTGCCTGGGGGCTTCATTCTATCCTGATGGCATTTTATAGAAATGATGAGTCACTATTTTAAAGCACTTCATCTATTTGCAATTATCTCCACTTTTCAAACCTGTTAGTTAATTTCTCTTGATCATCTTGTGCAATTTCTCTTGATCATCTTGTGCCATTTAGTTCTGCAGCTGCTTTAATTTTGTGGTGCGCAACAACACTATTTTATTGTATTTTCCTTATTATCTATATATATAAATCTGTTAGGTTGGTTCAACCGGACAGCAAAACTCCACAACCCCCCAACGAAACTTAACCAAAATTCCCATGCCCATAACACAACCCACAAGGTACAAACATATCTACTCAAAATGAAAAACAACACAACAACACACTCACAAAACGGCAAAACAACAAAACTCAAAAACCCAACGAAACTTAACCAAAATTCCCATGCCCATAACACAACCCACAAGTTACAAACATATCTACTCAAAATGAAAAACAACACAACAACACACTCACAAAACGGCAAAACAACAAAACTCACAAACCCCCCAACGAAACTTAACCAAAATTCCCATGCCCATAACACAACCCACAAGGTACAAACATATCTACTCAAAATGAAAAACAACACAACAACACACTCACAAAACGGCAAAACAACTGAGCATGCGCATTGGTGCCCAGCCGCAAGTTCCCTGGTGCGCGCACACAGCCTTCCGGCCAACGTTCCCTCTGCAGAAGCCATGCCCACTCCAAGCCCCTCCGCGCCGCTTCCCGCACACACACACACACCCTGCTGCACGCACACACACAACCCCACGCTCCATCACTCCCCGCCCCCGCACACACACACAACCCCACGCTCCATCACTCCCCGCCGCACACACACAACGCCGCTCCATCCCCCCCCGCCGCCGCACACACACACGCAACCCCATGCTCCATCATTCCCCCCGCCGCCGCACACACACACGCAACCCCACGCTCCATCACTCCCCCCGCCGCCGCACACACACACGCAACCAGGCTCCATCATTCCCCCGCCGCCGCACACACCCCCCCTCCCCCCCCCCGCCGCCACACACACACGCGCAACCCCAGGCTCCATCATCCCCCCGCCGCCACACACACATGCAACCCCACGCTCCATCCTCCCCGCCCACACACACACACCCCGCCCCATCCCTCCCCCCCCCCGCCGCACACACACACGCAACCCCACGCTCCATCACTCCCCCCCCGCCGCCGCACACACACACGCAACCCCACGCTCCATCACTCCCTCCGCCGCCACACACACGCACTCACTCCCCGCCGCACACACACACAACCCCACGCTCCATCACTCCCCGCCGCCGCACACACACATGCAACCCCACTCTCCATCACTCCCCTCCGCCACACACACACACAACCCCACCCATCCCCCCCCGCCACCGCACACACACACGCAACCCCACGCTCCATCACTCCCCCCGCACACACACACGCAACCGCACGCTCCATCACTCCCTCTGCCACCATACACACGCAACCCCACTCCCCCCCCCGCCGCCACACACACACACACAACCCCATGCTCCATCACTCCCCCCGCCGCCGCACACACACACGCAACCCCACGCTCCATCACTCCCCCCGCCGCCGCACACACACATGCAACCCCACTCCCCCGCCACCACACACAGACACGCAACCCCAGGCTCCATCATTCCCCCCGCCGCTACACACACATAATAGTCCAGATATCTACCTCAACTTTGATAAGTTTTACTATAGGCCACAGCAACGCGTGGCAGGGCACAGCTAGTTATTGTATAATTGGGTTTATCTGTCCTTCACAATCTTGTCTGCCTTTGAGGATCTGCTCCATAATCCTAAATGGCAGTACAAACGTTTCAAACTATACAGGAGCCGTTTTCAGGTTAATAAAGTTGAAGTTTAATTCAGATAGGATGGAAGTGCTGTGAGTGGGGAAATCTGCTGAGTTTGATAGAGACATGGGGTTGCACCCCTGCTCTAAAGAGCCAGATAAGCAGGTCAGGCAATGCAAAGCTCATGGAGGCCCAGGTGGCGTCAGTGGCCAGAAGAAAGCTGATGTTACCTCATTAATGCACACCCTGGTTACATCCAATTTAATTACTTTAACTCTTTTTACTTAGAGCTGTTTAAGGCAGTCTGGAAACTACCACTGATGTGTAGAGTGCAGCAGCTATGCAGGTAGGAACAAGATGTTCACATCATAGCCCACTTATTCCATGCCAGAAACATTGGATGCCTGTTTGTTTTCTGGTTAGATTTAGTGGGCTGACATTAAGGCCCTCAACAGTTTGGATCCAGGTTTTTCACAGCTTAATACAATGCCCAGATCCAGTCATGGCTTCTGCTCACCAACTGTTCACAAAGCCAGGACTTGTGTGACCAACATGTCAGTTAGTCTCACTTTTCTTGCACCTGTGTGAACCCGCCAAAGCTTAAGATCTGCACTTAATGTCCTGGAGCCATGAAATTGTGGTGAGTATTAGGCATATGGTATTTTCTGTGGATGATGCAATGTAATTCCTCAAGAAATATACATGCTTCTCTCCTTTTCAGACTTTCAGGAAGATTTTGAAGATTAAGTTGGACATATTGGGTTTCTAAATATGCCGTTGCTGTTTTAAGCATTAAAACTTATTTTTACTGGTTATGTATTGTATCTTGATTTTAAGGTTTCATTATGTATTTAATATTTTTGATTAGTCGCAATATATTTTGTAAGACAATTTACTCATAGTAACAATATAATGCCCAGGCAGAAAACCTGCTTTCTAAAGCACCTGATTCTTTGGTTTGTAGGTTCAGCAAGTACAAACTGTACAACAGGTACAGCATGTATACCCAGCCCAAGTACAGTATGTGGAGGGAAGTGATACAGTCTACACAAATGGAGCTATGTAAGTTAATCATTTTTGCTATTTTCATCTCAGCAGCCTAGATGCTTATTAGCAGATTTCTATAAACTCTATTGTGGAGCCTTTGAAACGCTGTGAAGAGCATTTTATCTAAAATCATTTAGAATTAAAAGTTTTTCATTATCACAAATTAAAATGTTGCAGCAATTGAAATAATTCTTATGAGAAATAAAATTGAAATAAATTAATTAGGAGTATTATTGATAATGTTTCTCAAGTGATTGAAAACAAGACCATGATAATTTTCAAGTCACAAAATCCTGTTCTGATGTCAGCATTTTGAAGTATTATTACTTCAGGGGCCAAGGCATAGTTCCTACAGTTTCTGGATAAATAGTCTGTGATGAGGAATAAAGCCAATTTAATTTATTGATTTTTGTATTACTTGTGAATAAATGTATTTGGTCTTACTGTGTTAACTATATGGATTGGGAAATCTCATTTTTAAATATTTATTTTGTCCTATGTACTTGTTACTGATATGTCTTCATCTAGTTAAGTGGATAGTGGAGGGATAATATTAAATATATTGTAAATCCTGTAAAAAAAAAAAGAAGAGAGAATTTATTGTCGAAGGCTTTCATGGCCGGAATCACTGGGTTGTTGTAGGTTTTTTCGGGCTATATAGCCATGTTCTAGACTCTAGAGGCATTCTCTCCTGACGTTTCGCCTGCATCTATGGCAAGCATCCTCAGAGGTAGTGAGGTCTGTTGGAACTTGGAAAATTGGATTTATATATCTGTGGAAGGACCAGGGTGGGACAAAGAACTCTTGTCTGTTGGAGCTAGGTGTGAATGTTTCAATTGGCCACCTTGATTAGCATTTGATGGCCTGGCAATTTTTTGGTGTGGCTTATTAGTGCCTGGGGGAATCTTTTGCTGAGAGGTGATTAGCTGTCCCTGATTGTTTTATCTCTGTTGTTTTGCTGTTGTAATTTTAGAGTTTTTTAATACTGGCAGCCAGATTTTGTTCATTTTCATGGTTTCCTCCTTTCTGTTGAAATTGTCCACATGCTTATGGATTTCAATGGCTTCTCTGTGTAGTCTGACATGGTGGTTGTTGGGAGTGGTCCAGCATTTCTGTGTTCTAAAATAATATGCTGTGTCCAGCAAAAGACAAGACGGATCCTCTCACTTCTGCAGGAGTCTGCCGTATACCATGCAGCTGTGGACAAGTCTACATAGGTACCACCAAACGCAGCGCCCAAATATGAATCAAGGAACATGAAAAGGCACTGCAGACTACTTCAGCCAGAGAAATCAGCCATAGCAGAGCACCTGATGAACCACCTGGACACTAGAATGTAGTGTGATGTTAGCTGGGAAGGAGATGTGATAAACTGGGCAAGAGAGCCCTCCTGTGGCTGGGTTGTTACATTGTATAGCATACTAAGAAAATATTATTTCTGTTCAATCTACTGTGGATGGACTAAAGTTTGTAAATATATCCCAGTTTTGCAGTTTCCCATTTCAAGATTCCTTTGTAGCATTTCTGTTCAAGTACAGCTGTTCTTAGGTCAGAAATTGAATGACCAGGAAAACTGAAATATTTTGCAATTGGTTTTGTGTATTCCCATTCCTAGTGTATTAAACTTATTTATTTACTAGCTTGGGGACCCGACGTTGCCCGGGTTATTATAGATAGTGGGTAATGGCGGTTCTGTATGCCAAGTTTGGTCTGTATTGGTCATTGGATGACGGTTGCATTGTTTTCAGGAAGTGAGTGAAGGTACTTGAAGTCCCATTGTCCATGGTCAACCCTCCTCCAAACAGCAGCAGGATATAGAGTGAGTCATGGGGGCTCTGTGTGCCAAGTTTGGTCTTTATCAGTCATTGGTTCAGGGTCGCAGTGGTTTCAGTAAGTGAGTAAAGGTACTGCAAGTCCCATCATCCATGGTCAACCCTCCTCCAAACAGCATCGGTATGTAGAGTGGGTTATGGGGGCTCTGTGTGCCAAGTTTGGTCTTGATCAGACATTAGATGAGGGTTGCAGCAGTCTTGGGAAGGGAGTGGAGGTACTTGAAGTCCCATCATCCATGGTCTGTCCTCCTCCAAACTGCACCAGGATGTAGAGTGGGTCATTGGAGCTCCATGTGCCAAGTGTAGTCTTGATTAGTCATTGGCGAGGGTCTCAGTGGTCTCAGGAAGTGAGCAAAGGTACTGCAAGTCCCATCATCCATCTCCAAAGTTTTCCAAACAACACCAGGACGTAACGTGGGTCATGAGAGGTCTATGTGCCAAGTTTGGTCTTGATCCGTCATTGGATGAGGTTTGCAGAGGTCTCAGAATGTGAGTGAAGGTACTGGAAGTTCCATCATCCATGGTCCACCCTTCTCCAAAACTGCAGCAGGATGTAGAGTGGGTCATGGGGCTCTGTGTGCCAACTTTGGTCTTGATTGGTCATTAGATGAGTTTTGCAGCAGTCTTGGGTAGTGGAGGTACTTGAAGTCCCATCATCCATGGTCTGTCGTCCTCCAAACTGCTCCAGGATGTAGAGTGGGTCATTGAAGCTCCATGTGCCAAGTTTAGTCTTGATGAGTCATTGGCGAGGGTCTCAGTGGTCTCAGGAAATGAGTGAAGTGACTGCAAGTCCCATCATCCATTGTTAAATTCTTCCAAACTGCACCAGGATGTAGAGTGGGTCATGCTGGGTCTGTGTAAATTGTGTTCCTGATCCATCATCGTTGGCAGTTGTAATGGTCTTAGGAAGGGAGTGCAGGTATTGCAAGTCCCATCGTCCATGGTGCATCCTCCTTCAAACTGCACCTGGATGTAGAGTGCGTCATGGAGACTCAGTGTGCCAAGTTTGGTATTTATTCGGTAATTGGATGAGGGTTGCAGTGGTCTGAAGAATTGAGCAATGGTACTGCAAGTCCCATAATCCGCGGTCCATCCCCGGCCAAACCACACCAGGACGTAAAGTGGGTCATGAGAGGTCTATGTGCGAAGTTTGGTCCTGATCAGTCATTGGATAAGGTTAACAGCGGTCTCAGAATGTGAGTGGTGGTACTGCAAGTCCCATCATCCATGGTTCATACTCCTCCAAACTGCAGTAGGATGTAGAGTGGGTGATGGGGGCTCTGTGTGCCAAATCTGTTCTGTATTGGGAGTGTTCTGATCCAGCCCCCGGCCTTTCCTTTCCTCTCTTTGTCATCTCGGAATGTTGGATTTGAGGCTGGCCAATCAGAGACCATATGCAAATTTCCTTCTGTCATGCCCCGTTTCTGCCATGAACCCTCTTCTCCACCAGGGGCTCCTATTGAAGCTGGCCAATCAGAGACCATATGCAAATAGCACCACAGCGGCAGCCAATCAGAAAGCTGCCAAACACGTCCGCCCTACATCCTACCTACCTCTGCCCTACGTCGCATACAAACTTTGACTTTTATTATATACTAGCTTGGGGACCCGACGCTGCCCGGTTTATTTGAGAAAGGAATTGTGTGGCAAAGATGTTCTTTATCAGTTTTCAGTTAGTGAAGGTACTGCAAATGCCATCGTGCATGGTCCATCCTCCTCCAAACAGCACCAGGATGTAGAGTGGGTCATGGGGGCTCTGTGTGCCAAGTTTGGCCTTGATCAGTCATTGGCGAGGGTCTCCGTGTTCTCAGCAAGTGAGTGAAGTTACTGCAAGTCCCATCATCCATCTCCAAATTTTTCCAAACCGCACCAGGATGTAGAGTGGGTCACGCAGTCTCTCTGTGTGAATTGTGATCCTGATCCATCATTGTTGGCAGTTGTAATGGTCTTAGGAAGAGAGTGCAGGTATTGCAAGTCCCATCGTCCATGGTGCATCCTCCTCCAAACTGCACCAGGATGTAGAGTGCATCATGGAGACTCAGTGTGCCAAGTTTGGTCTTTATCGGTAATTGGATGAGGGTTGCAGTGGTCTCAGGAATTGAGCAAAGGTACTTCAAGTCCCATAATCCATGGTTCATCCCCAGCCAAACCACACCAGGGCATAAGGTGGGTCATGAGGGGTCTATGTGCCAAGTTTGGTGTTGTTCAGGGTCGCAGCAGTCTCAGAAAGTGAGTAGAGGTACTTCAAGTCCCATCATCCATCGTCTGCCCTACTCCAAACTGCAGTAGAATGTAGAGTGGGTCATGGGGGCTCTGTGTGCCAAGTTTGGTCTTTATAGGTGTTTGTTGGGGGCCACAGTGATGCGTGGAACCAAACCGTTTGAAAGTACTACAAATCCCATAATCTGTGGCCCACCTCCCCCAATCCTCACCAGGACGTAAAGGGGGTCATAAGGGTTATGTGTGCCAAGCTTGGTGCAGGTGCATCACCCATATTGGTCACAGTGTCCTGTGAAAGTGGCAGCCAAACTTGGCACACATGTTTTGATGTTTTACCATCCTTGTGGGAGGTTTCTGTCATGTCCCTGCTTCTTTCATTAACCCTCTTCACCACCAGGGGGCCCTGTTGAGGCTGGCCAATCAGAGACCATATGCAAATTTCCTTTCCCCTCTCAGCCACTTGAGGATGTTGGA